CCCAAGATTCCACATATCTTTCCATATTTTCTGGGTTCTCGTCTTCCCCCCCACTTCCCATAGTTTCCCATAGTTTCCCATAGTTTCCTGGGGATCGACGATTGCTCGTCTCTGTGTGTTCTTTCCCCTCCTAAAGGGGGGGGGCTGCCGCGGGGGGCACACGCGGGCGCGGCCCGAGCAGGTAAGGGCACCGGGGAACTTCACCGAGCGGACTGCTGGCGGGACACGAGGCGGCCCGGGAGGGGGCGAGGGAGGACACGGGCACGCCAGGGTGGGGGCCAGGGAGCCCGGTGAAGTGGGGCCAGAACAGGTAGCCACGGCAAGGGCAGGGGAAAGAGGATGAGGAGGGCGAGGGTCAAGTGGGATCAAAAGAAATAGCCACGGCAAGGGCAGGGGAAGGAGGAGGAGGAGGGTGAGGAATGACAGGAGGAGGACAGGAGGGATGCAAGGACGTGAGGAGGTGCTCACGGCGGGCCTGCGGCTGCGGCTGCTGCGTCCTGCGGGGCTGCGGCCGCTGCCGCTTCGTCGGCGAGATGGCCGTCGACGTGATCGGCACCTCAGGGCTCGGGGCAAACGGAGCAGTGGTACGCGCCAAAAGGAAGCAAGCGTGGCGGTGAGTACCATCTCTCCAGGCAGCTCGACGAACGCTGTTTCTGACCTCTGCTCTTCTGGAGAAACCGGAAAGTACCGATACCGCTCCCCGGACCTCTCCCGCGGCGCGTTCTGACCAGGATTTCGAGACGCATCCAGCGGTTACGACGAGGGCCTCCCTGGAGACCCATCAAGGCAAAATCGAGGCAGGGATAACCGTCGGTCCGAAGAGGTAGGTAGAACCATGAAGTAGGAAGGCGTTGGAAGCAGATTGGGGCTCCGCCCGCCCGTTGAAGAGGAGGCCAGAGGGAGCACCACTCCACTCCTGGAGTAGGAAGGAGGCTACGGCAAGTTCGCGTCGTGCCGACCCCGGCGTTGGTTTCTGACACCGCGGGGATCGTTCCACCTTGAACGATCGGCCGTTTCCGAAACGTCCAAATCGTTCCACATCGAACGATTCTGGGTCGCCCGCGGCATTCAAGGTTGAACGCCGCTGGCGGGGTCGCAGCCGGTCGACACGACACTAACCTACCGTAAAGTAGATTGGGATCTGGGCATCCAGAAATATCTACTCTCAGCGACCGACGTGTATCTGTTTCCCCTCTGGGACCTCTCCCGGGGTGCGATCTGACCAGGATGTCGAGGCGCATCCAGCGGTTGCGACGAGGGCCTCATACGAGGCCCAAAAATGCGAAACCGAGCCAGGGGTAGCGTCATCGGTACGGCTGGACCTAGGACATAATGACATCCTTGAGGAACATGGAACCGTCCGCCTGCCAAACTGAAGAACCGTCGAGGATACCCCCCCAGGGTACATAAGAACACCCAACAAAACACACGAAGAACATGACTACACTCAGGCCCCTGCCAGAAGGAACGCTAAATAAGGAACGAAACCTTTTTTTTCACAATCAAAATATAAATTTTGGAAGCGTACCCAATTGGGAAGCGATTGCGCGCGCGCCATGACGCAAGGAACGCCGATGGGGGCTTCGTGGCGCAATGGCGAGGGAACGCCGGCAGACCCCAGGAAACCACCGAGCCCCCTCCGAACCCGAACTGGACCCTACTCCAGGAGCCTCACTGCAGGGCACCCTCCCCGAGGCAACCTCGCCATGAGACCTCGGCCAGACCGTGCGGTGCCGGCCCACATGGGCGCTGCGCTCCGGTCTCTGGGGCCGCCGCTCCGGCGGCGGCCGCCGGAGCACGCGACCGGGGCACCCGCGGAGAGCGCCCTCGCCGAGGCGCGGCCACCGCTGGAAGGCGTCCTCGGGCTGGGGAGCCGCCGAGAGCCGACGAGAACGCCAGAAGACCTGGCGCCTCGAACGTGCCGACGCCGCGGGCGATCTCGACGACGTCTCAGCCCTCCTCTGCCCTTCCCCCGCGTGGCGGGGGTGGCGCCTGGCCGAAGGCCGCCATGGCACTGCGCGTGCGCGGCCGGGGCGTCGGCGGGTCCTCGGGGCGAGGGCCCCGCGCGGGCGAGCAGGTGTGGGGGGGCGGGGGGGGCAGGGCAGGCCCGCCGATGCCTCCCGAGGCAGGGCGGCAGCAGCGGGAGGCTCGCAGACCAGACGCTCTGACAAGCACTGGAGCGGCGGCCGTCTTCCCGCTGCTTTTACCGCAAAAGGAATCGCGGGAGGTGGTCCGGTGTCTGCTGCCTCCTGGGGAGCCCTCGCCATGCATCGGGAGCGTCAAAAACGGACAAGCGAGACGAAAAACTGGAAAGAGGAGGAGAAGGACGAGGACGAGGAGGAGGATGAGGAGGGGGATGAGGAAGAGGGGGAGGGGGAGGGAGGAGGAGGAGTGAGGAGGAGGAGGAGGAGGAGGAGGAGGAGGAGGAGGAGGAGGAGGAGGAGGAGGAGGAGGAGGAGGAGGAGGAGGAGGAGGAGGAGGAGGAGGAGGAGGAGGAGGAGAGGAGGAGGAGGAGGGAGAGGAGGAGGAGGAGCAGGAGGAGGAGGAGGAGGAGGACCACGCAGTTGACCGTTGGTCAATCTAAAAAGAGAGGTAGCCTGCCCTTGGATTAAGGGAGGCAAACGGTGAGGAAGCCAGACTTCCCCTCTTGTGAATTTGGCAAGATAGGCCGCACCAGACGCAGTGGCCTTCTTGCATACCTTGAAGAGATTCTGACCCGCTCTGATGGCGTGGGAGCCGCAGGTCAGGCAAATGTATGTGCCTTTGGCAGACATGACCATATCATGAGACGGGTCAACATACCTGGCACCGATGTACACATTGTGGAGAGACTTCGCTCCCTCGAATCCCGAACGGGGTTCCGCTAAAACACACGGGGAGGCAAGAAACTCCTGGGACGGAATATTACCGTGCGAGTTGACAGAGATGACCGAACAACACAAATTACAAAAGAGCCTCGATTCAGGGCCCTCTCCTACCGGAATCATATTATGCGCTGACTCCCTAAGCTGCTTGGCTAACTTGGGGCGAGGGTTGAAGGCTCGAGGAGGAGGAGGAGGGACTGCTGGTTTCGGCTTGGCTCTGGCTTCCTTGCGAGCTCTCGGGGCCTGGGGATTGTCTCCAGAGGCCTCTGAAAATCTCGAGAGGAAAACCTCACAAGCACGAATTCTAACAGCACGCGTCAGGGCCTCAGAAATCTGGACCGCCTCCACCTCCCCCGCCTGCAACTGGATATTCTTGGCCGTGTGGTCAGCCAGTTCATCAGCTGCCTTGTTGCCAACCCACGCAAAGACGAGCTCCTTTTTCTCCGCAGCCTGATCTGGAGTCATGTGCGACTCGATCTTGATGATGCTGGTCGGCTTCTCTTGAAGAAGCCGCTGAATTCGACGCCACTCGTTCCTAAATCCAGTAGGAAAGAAATCCAAGAGGACCTTACTGACGTTTTTCTGGACATATGACGAGTCCGTGACGAAGACGAGTGGTCGGCCCACAGGGGCCTCCTCCAGGAACCTCAAGAGCGCTATCATCTCGCCGTGATTGATTGTCTGGGGTCCCCAAGTGGCTCCCGAGGACACCCTTGCCAAGGCTAGGGAGGGAGCTGGGTTCGCTAGGTCGAACTCCTCGAAGACAACATATGCCCAAGACACTCTCCTGAATCTGGCCTGGTCTGAATATTTACCCCCTGAGGCATCACCTGCGCCGACGATCAGGTCTGTGCCGTCGGGGAAGACGCCGTGGCTGTGCACAAAAATGTCCGCCTCGTCGGGCGGCTGCGAAACTTGTGTCCACGACGACGGAGTGAGGCCTCGTAGCCACACTGACGGCTGTGAATCCACCTGGGTGCGAGCACGATGCACAAAAGCCTCGCTGCTGGTGGTCGAGGGCAGGGCGTCGTTCGCGGAACATTCCCAAATTCGGTGGAAAGTAGACTCTGGTCGTCCACCATCACAGCGGTCACAAATAACAGAAAAGTCAGGCGGGTTGATGATGCTTTGAATTCTCTCTCTGGCCCACTGACCACCACAGCAGACGTTGACTAAAGCTCCTGCCCACTTAAGCTGGCAGTATGCATATGGGTCCGTCAGGTTCCTCTCCCAGGCGCTCACCAAGGCTGGGGCTCTCTTGGGTAGGCTCTGCAACAAGGCGCACTTGAGCATCGCCAGCAAGAGCAAGATCATCGCGGGGGACCTTGATTTAGCAAAGGACATTGCGCGCAAGCTGGCACAGCACAACATCAAGATCACTGTAGCGCACAAAGCAGTAGATCTAGGCACGGACAGAGGCACAAACATGCGAGCACTACCTAAAGCAGCAGCACGTCGCAAAGCAGCATGGAAGCAAACAGTCCGAGCTCGGAAACTTATTGGAGCAGGCAGAACAGGCAGAGCAGCAGCACGACGAGTGATACATCGAGGATGTTATGCAAAAGTTCAGTATGATGCAGCTGTGTACGGTATGTCCCCTTCGGCAGTGCAGGCTTGGCGCAGAGCTATAGGAGGCACTTTCACTCTGTCAGTCCGCGGCAGGTGCCTTGACACTCTTTTACAGCTGGAGCTTGGAGATCAAGATCCAGCAATCTCGCAGGTATTTAAGATGCTCGACAGCTGGATGGCCATTCGTGCCTCAGGAGCTGAAGCTCGAGCTTTTGCAGCACGAGATTGGTCTCAGCACGTGGCTAAGGCTAGAGAGATTCCTAAACATCGATGGCGCAGAATCACAGGCCCCACCAGAGCTGTAGTAAATACCCTTTTGGACATCAACTGGGACCCCATCGGGCCATGGCATTGGGTTTCTGATCTTGGGAACGTCTATCAGGCTACTCCAGAGGTCCTTGAAGCTGGTCCGCTAGATCTAGATGACATCCGCCAAGACCTAGCCGATTCAGTTCGTCGGGTTCTTTGGAAGCGAGCAGCTAAACATTAGGAGGAGGAGGAGGAGGAGGAGGAGGAGGAGGAGGAGGAGGAGGAGAAGGGGGAGGAGGAGGAGGAGGAGGAGGAGGACTACTTCTGCAGCAGCGAGTAGTCGGCGCCGCTCAGCACCGCCTTGGCCTTGCCCAGCGCGTCGATCTCTCCGCTGCGAGCCTCCTCCCTCGCGCCGTAGTACTGGAGGAGCCAGTCGCACTCGCCGTGGAGCTGGGAGATGTACTTGTCCGTCGCCATCAGCTCCTTGGCGGCGCTGGCGCTGTCGCCCTTGAGAGCCGGCAGGTCGCTCTCCAGGTCGGCCTTAGTGGCGGCCTTCGACGTCAGGTCCTTCGAGTCGGTCGTGCGCTTGCCCTTCGCGTCTGCGATCGTCTTGTCGTAGTCCGCCTGTGAGTCCTTCTCCTCCGTCTCGGCCTCAGTCATCTCGGTGTCGAGATCCTTGATCAGCAAGTCAATCATGGCGATGACCCCAGAGCTCTCCTCGGACTTCGCCGCGCACGCGTCCCAGGTCTCGGGCGGCGGCGCGACGGCGGCGCCCCTGCGCGCGGAGACCTGCACCAGCGCCGCTGCGCCGCTCATGTCCCGCTCGATGGCGCCCTGGGCAGACAGCTCGACCTTGGCCGGCGGCTTGTAGAGCTTGGGGTTGTAAAACTGTTTGCGACCCAACACGGCCACGAGGACCGGGTCCCGCATACCGTGTTCAACACCGTGGAAGACAGGAACAGGTAGTCGAGGAATGGGGCAGCTGTGCGCGAAGATACTGAACCTCCCAATGCGCAGCACGTCCCGGAGAAATCCCACGAAGTACCCAATTATGCCCCAAGATCGGCGGCTCGTGGCGCCGAGGCGCCCGGGCCCCCGAGAGGGCAGGGGAGGCCCCTCCCGGCCCCGAGGGGCTCCGACAGGGGAGAGGCCTCCGGTCGTGCAGGATGACCTCCATGCTCGTACTCAAGCGTCAGCGCCCTTGCGGCGACGCTTCGATGGTTTGAACCCCTTCCCAGTGCCCTTGCCCTTGCCCACGTACTCCTGCAGCTGCTGACACTGCGGCCCGTCGTCGCTCCTCGCCAGCACGAGCCTAACCCCCTTCGCCTTCTCACCGAACGCCGCCGCCGTGCACAGCGGGTTGACGAACTCGGGCGGGGCAGTGCGGGACAGCATGAGGCTCCAGACCCAAGCACGATCAGCCTGCTCCAATGGTTCCTCATGGGCTGGCTGGAGCCGGAAGCACCAGGCCTCGACCTCCTTCAACGAAGCCTTCTGCAAGGTCTCGATGGCCGCGTGCTGCGTCCTGGCCAGGTCGTATTTCGCCTGGTCCTGTGGCGGCTTCGGCCACTTCTGCATCATCTCCGCGCTGGCCTCGCCGACTTCGGTGATCAGCGCTGCCCAGGCCATTGCCCGAAGCGAGTGGCCACACGGGTGCGGGCCTTCTGCGGGCTTCGCAGTCTTCCAATCTTTACGTACTTTCACCGCGGCCGCCTTCGCTTCGAGGCTATACACCAAGAATGTGAGAGAATCTTTATCCTGCAACGTCTGAATGCTGCGGTCGTGGCGGATCAGCATGCGCCCCATCAAATTGCACATCTCCTGGAACTCCTGGACCGAGCCGCCGGCCCCTCCGTGGCCCCCTGGGCCCTGACTGCCGGGCATGGCCTGCTGAGCTGGCGCGGGAGCTGCTGCGCGGAGGGCCTCCAGTCCGGCTGCTGCGCCGATGGCCATCTCCGCACTATCTGGCATATCATGAAATTGCATGGAGCGTTCCAATTCCGTGACCATGCCAGAAATCCACTCCGCTCGCCACTTGCGGCGAAGAGCACGATACGCCTGGGACCGAGCCCGGTGCTGTTGGCGGAGGGCTGTGGACTCCTCCGTCGTGGGCGCCAGTCGCTGGCGGCGGCGAAGTTCCCGCAGTGCATCACACTCCGCCTCCATCTCGCGCGCGTGGCCCGCGAGGTACGGAGTGCACCACCGTTTTGACTCCCTCCCCACCACTTCCTCGGCAGCTGCCGCAGCGATGTCCCGAATGGCAGAAAGCGGGCAGTTCTCGTCCAATGGCGGTGTCTGGTCTTCGCAAAGTCGCACATACTGTTCTCTCAGGGCGACGGCCTCGGGGAGCGAGCCCTGCATACGATGAAGGGCCAGCGGGCGCTTCTGAGCCTCCGCGCCCCGTTGTCGAAGTTCACGCCACGCCTCGTGGGCCTTGGCGAGGGCCAGGTGGTACGTCTTGCCACAGTGGTCGCTGAATTCCACTTGGAACGTCTTGACTCTCGAAAACCGGCGCCGCAGAGGCGACGACGCCGCACAAACATCAAGCTCGAAGTGGATGTGGCGACCGCCCACAGGGTGTGACCATGTGCCGCGAGGGCTGATCTTGAAGTACGAATCGATGAGATCGAGCTGCGGGCCGTGAGCAAGCCAGGCGGCCAGCTCGCGCCCAGGCGCCCCCGTCGGTGTGTTCATCCCGTATCGGCCCAAGCCGCTGTAGTGTTGGCAGGAATCGGCTCCAATATGGCTGTTCCAATCGCCCAACCACAGCTGCGAGGTCGTCGCAGGGATTCCCAAACGTACTTCATCGCAAAGCTCAAAGAAGTCACGCCGGAGGTCGGCTCCATAGGACTGGTCTGGTGCATAGACAGATGTAATAGCGTACGAGGCGCCCTTGATACGCAGAGACACTGTGAGGAGGCGGCCGCATTCGTGTCGGGCGACATGGCACTCATGATCTCGCCAAGCCTGCTGCGCCGCCGGGCTCAACAAAATCGCACTGCGAGTACCGAAGATGACGATGAACTCTTCTATCGCGACGACGGTGTTGCGTAGGTCCCGAGGCGCTCCGGGGAGCGAGTAGTAGTCAGTGAACTCCCACGGGCAGTGCACGTCAGACAAACAGGCGGCATCCCAGCCGTGAGTACGAGCAAGTCGGATCATCCCAAGGGCTTTGGCCATGTGGCGGTCTGTTTGATTCGCCCAGCACCAGCCCTGCATATTGATTGTTACAAGGGTAAGGTGAGCAGAGGTAGAGAGAGAGCGTTGGTGACAAAATCGATGAAGATGGCGCACTCGGTCACGACGTCGCCCTCCAGCAGTACGAGCTCGGAGGTCCGCGATGAACGGTGCCGCCGATCTCCGGGCCTTCCGTGGTAGTCCGGCCCCCCTTCGAGAATCAAAATCGGTTGCGGTGCAGGGTTCGGAAGAAGCCCCGAGCGTGCCACCCTGCATTGAGCCGAAGCTCAGCACGCCACGGAGTCGGTATTCCCCAAGTTGTTTCATGGGGTTATTGGGGCGTTGGTCGCCCCCACGCGCTCCCGAGGTACCTGTTCCTGCTGAGGTCCTCTATGAGCGTCACGGTCTTCAAGGTAAGAACAACTGGCCCAATGATGATGAAGAGATGGTTGAAGCTGATGGCGGAGAACATCCAAATGATGAACACCTGGGAAATGAGGAGGAGGAGAAAGATGATGGACTGGGCCTGACCCGTGTCCACAACCCAGAAGACCCCAGCGTAGGATGCGCTTCTCTTCCCAGCAACGTAGAGCTGCCCCAGCGGGAAGGGGTTGTAAAACTGGTTCAGTCTGTTCTTGGCAAACAAGAGCAACTCCTTCGCGGCTCCGTCCGAAGCCATCAGCGCCTTGTACTCCTCGGATTGCGCTTTGCGCAGCGCCGTCGCCTCCGCGACGCTCTTGTCGAGGGCCTGGATGCCCGCCTCCAGCGCCGCGATGTCCTCCTTGGCCTGGCCGATTCCCTCCTCTGCGCTCGCGATGGCGGTCTCAATGTCCGACGCCTTGCGCGCCAACGACTTCTTCTTGTCGTCCGCGGAATCAAACTGCGCGCCGCAGTACTCCTTCTTGTTCGCGTCGTCCGTCTGCTCCACGTTGAGCAGCGCGACCATGTCGTCGATCATCTTGATCACCGTCTCGAACCCGGCCTTCTTACCGCGGAGCGCCAGCACCAGGAAGCCGAGGCGGGCGTGGTCCGCCCCGCCCCGCTCCTGCGCCTGCTGGAGGAGGGCCGCGGCGCGCGAGCGCTGGCCGGCGGTCGTGGTGGCGACCTGCATCAGGCTCGCACTGGGCACGGGAAGGGTTTTCTTGAACAACTCCAGCGCGTCGTCGTCGTTCAGGATCTGGATGGTCTCGGCGAGGGCGGTGAGCTCCTCGCGACGCGTCTTCACGCGCGCCTCGTACTCCTTATCCTTCGTAGAGCACCCCGACTCCAACTCTGAGAGGAGCTTCTGATCCTCGAGCAGCGCCGTCTCCGTGTCGCTCGCGTCGGTCTTCATCTGGACGATAGACACCCCGAGCGCGCCCATCTTTGTGGTCTTGGCCTCAACGGACTCGGTGAGCGTGTCGATCTCCTTGGCCTTCGCGGCGACCACGGCCTCGAACTCCTTGATGGCGTTGGCCTCCGTGTCCGAGGCCTCCCCGAGGCTCTTCGAGAAACCGTCGCCCATCTCCTTCAGGATCCCAGTCACCTCCCCGCTGACGGGCACGTAGGCGGAGCCGTGCCCGCCAGACAGGAACGAGAGGAGCGCCTCGCGGTCGTCGTCCTGGATGACGTCACCCTTCGTCAGCACGATCTTGCGCAGCAGGCTCGCCGAGGTCGTCTGCAGAAATCCGCCAGCCATCCCCTTGGTCAGCGCAGCGACGGCCTGCTTGATAGCGGAGATGTAGCTCTCGAGCTCCGACTTCGTGGCTGCGAACGCAGCCGCCTCCTCCTCCTTGTTCTCATCCTTCACCTTGGCACTCGTCCGCAGTGAACCATTTCATCAGGACAGTATGTAATAATAGCAGCCCATACACTGAAGTACTGGCTGAGGGAAACTCGAAGTCTTCCCTGCTTCATTATAACTGAGAAAGACTTGTTGCCTTCAGTGCCCACTTGGCGACGGAAGGTTCAACACTATCATCTGAGTGAGGAAATACCAGTATGTGAATTGATGTCCCGCTCCATGTACGACATATCATATGAGAACTCTATCTTGATGTTGCTCATGTGTGCATTCCAAGAGAAAAAACTGCCATTGGCTGCCTCCTCGCCTGATAATCCATATGAAGATACCCTCTCATGCAATGCAAGGGGCCCGTGTACAGTGGACGTGCGCAAATGTTTGAGCCCACCATGTCACAATAATCAATAATCACAGCGCCGACCGAGGGGGAGCACGCTCCGTCGCGATTAAGGCATCGTGGCCACCAGTAATGGCCCTACGGGTCCTCCCCCTCGGCGATAGATAAAACAATACATCCAGCATACCAGATGCATCCAGCAAAACCAGACTCACCGCCACCCCTACGCGCTGTTGTCCTGCGAGCGACCTAAGTCCAACAGGCAGGTGCACCAGAGGGGTGGACGATGGCTGTGCGACTAAACCAGGTGATTAGCCTGGATTTTGCGTCCTAAGGCCCTCCACAAAGAGCGGCAGTAAATTGCTGAAACCTTCTTGTCGGTGCTGTGGAGCCACAGAGAGTACAAACCAATTCCTTGTCCTTTTGGTCAGCTCGATAATGTGTGAGAACGTGACAACGGTTACCTGGAATCTTGGTCCTCTTGTTATGCTCATCTACCATGATTACGTAGTCAGCAGCGGTGCGCTTCTTGCCAAGACGTGGGCCACGTGGAGCTCCAGGCTGACAAAGAAGGCGCGACCATGAGCCAAGCTGGCTCACTTTTGACTCGAGCTTGCAATTGATGCACACCAATTTGGCAGGTTGATCCTTGTTCGGCCCCTTGAGAGGGGCAAGCACATGATATCCCTGTTGGCGTGCCTCGCGGTTGTGCAGCAGTCTTTTCTGCTCATTCTGAAGGTCTCGGCCTTTGAGGCCCTCCCAATCTTTCTTCTCCTCGTCCGTCCAAGTGATGGTAGCTCGCATGACCTTGACAGAAGTGACATGATGAGCCCGTCGCACCACAGAGACATGTTCAGCTGCAGCAGCGGCCCTTGCAACAATATCGCTTGGCCTCACCGTTGTTGAAAGGTTCTCGGCTAGCTTCGGTGGTTGCCATATGGGCTTGGGTACTGAACCCCAAGCTGGCTGCACTCGAATGCCTTTTGTCTTCTCCGTCGTCGCCAAAGCCACAGCATACAGTACTCGCATCGTGTGTTGGTGGTTCACAAACACTGGCCTGCACTTGAAGCCAGGCACTGCACGTATACCCAGTGGTGATAAAGCGCGAATCTCTTTGAAACATTCACGTGGTCCCAATTTGCACTTGCACAAATAGCCCATCCGAGTAGCAGCTGTCGAGAAGTATCTCGCCATGCGCTCAAGAGTAGCAGTCTGTGGGTCTTCCGCTGGCGTGACCAACGGTAATCCAGTACAGATAGTGAAGTCAATCGCCAACTCCGCCCAGGAAACGGACATGGGCGCCATTGGTGTATCATCAGCTGCCCATCGAAGTTGCGCAAAATACCAGACAATCGCAGGAAATAGAGCCTGTTGGTAGTACCAATCTTTGCCTGTCAGTATCTCTGGAATCTGTGGTTCGAATTCCCACTCAGGCAAGTTCACCTCGACAGGGTCCCAGGGATAACCAGGGAAGGCCATCTTCGGACTCCAGGTCAAGGGATTGGTAGTCATCTGATCTAAAGCTGGTCGTACCCACGTGGAGCTTGACGACGCTGATGTTGCGGGGTCCGCAGCCGGACAATATGATGAGGCTGGGGTGGTTGTTGGTGGCGTATCTGTAGTACAGGATGTCGCCGTAGGTCGCGGTGTTTTGCTCCGCAGGCGGTGCATTGGTGCTTGTGCAGGTTGGCCTTCTCGTAGACAACTGCGAGGGTGTCCGCAGCCGCCGTTGTGGCTGCAACCGTCGGGCTAGCAGAAGAACCATCCTGTGTCAGGGTCGGTGAGACAGTCGCTGGCTGATTTCCCAGATGGGGTTCTGGTGATGCCTCAGTCCTCAGGACCAGGGGCGATGCAGCTCTCTGTTCACCTGCTTCGTTCGTACCGTCATCGTCCATGCCGAGATGAGCCCAAGGATCCTCAGCATCCTCGTCTGGCCATTGGGGGTCTGCACCTTCCAGTTCGGCATTTTGCATAGCTTCGGCTTGAGCGCATCGGGCATGATGAGTGTCTCTTCCCATAGCCTGAAGTTGCTTTGCACGTGCAGCCAAGATAATCGTGGCTGTGTGCTGAAGAGTATAACATAGATGCTGATCTCGCAGGTGTTGGTGTCTGATATCCTCTGGCACACTATGTTGGCGTGCAGCTTGAACAGCACTGTCATCTGCCTGTTTGTTAGCCTCCCAGTCAGGTAGGTCTTCTGGGGGTACTTCATCTCGTTTGCGATGTGCTTTGATCTTCTCAATGCGGAAACAATCTGATCCTTTCGCAGCAACTCCTGTGGCGATAGCTGTCCACAGGTCACGATGCTGGCGAGGATTAATAGTCATGCCATTCAGGATAGCAGTAAAATTTCTGACGCAGTATGCGCTGTCGGTGAGGTAGAGCTGCTTGGACCAAGCCCAGGATACAAAGTGTCGAAGGGCACTGACCTCAGCCCTCTGAGCTCCTTGTGAGACGCTCCTCAGCGGGACAGAAACGTTGCAGGGGTGGTTCTCTCCATAGTAGAGACCGTAACCAGATCTTCGTAGGCGTAAGTCTGACGCCTGTCCAGGACAGGCACCATCCCCCGCCACCACTAAGTATCCTTCCTTCTCGCGTGTGGTGCTGTGTTCGTCCTGGCCTGGCTCGTAATTCCCATCAGCATGGTGAGGGGGAGGTGGAAGATCAGGTTCATCAGGCAACAGCTCAGATGCGAAATTGTCATATACTGGCCTGTCTGGGCAGAGGCCACATTGTCGGTAGCATACAGGTAGGGCAAGAATCTCATCCTTTGTGTAGTGGTCGAGCAACGGTTGGCGCTGCTGGGTCCACTGGGGGCAATGCAGGAGGATATGATCCATATCTTCGTCAGGGTCTCCACAAAAAGGGCAATATCGATGATCT